GCCGACGCAGGGCGAAGAGCCGGTTCCGGGGAAAGGGTTGGAACATCTGGTGGCCCCGCATGGGAAAAGGGGTCCAGAGGTCCGACGTTCCGGAGAAATTGTGCGGCCAGTTGTTGGTCGTTTTTGGCCTCGGAGGCCTCGGGACCGTCAAACAAAGAAACAGGCCCCAGGGAAGCGGTCCAGACCTCCAGGGCCCACGCAACAAAAAACATTGAGCGGCTGAGTGTCGGGGAAGGAAACTGCGCCTCGTTGTTGCTCGTTCGACTACGATACTCCCCAGCGGTGCTCGTTTCTCTTTCTCACGGCGATTCGCCGGTCTTGATGGTATAAGTACTGGTCCAGAGCCCCCCAAATTCTCTGCCTCCTCCCCGCTTCCTCACCGCTTTTGCGGACAATTTACCCTTGTAAGGGGCTGCCCTCGCCCCCGCCCTCTCCTCACCCCAGCAGCAGCGCATCCCTGGGGGTGGGGCGGGAACTGTAAACATGAGGCGCGCAACAGCCCAAAAGGGGGGGGTCCCATGAGAGAGAGAGAGAGAGAGAGAGAGAGAAAAACAAAAAAAGAGACCGACGGAAGGGCGACACGAGGAGGAGCAACAGGAGGAAAGGAAAGAAAGGGAGGGAGGGGAGGAGGAGACGCGATATAGGCGAGAAGGAGCCAGGCAGGCACGACGGAGGAGGTCGAGAAAGGGGAGGTAGAGGGTCGCAAACGCAGCCGGTGCCCTCCCAACGACCCCCCCCCCCGAAACCAGGACCTCAAAAGACCGTCCGGGCCTACGTAGAGGGATGTTTGCCTGGCCTTTCGCAACATGGTGGCTTTCCAACGTAGGAGGCTGTTTGACGGGCCTTCCGCAACATGGTGGTTTTCCAACGCAGGAAGGTTTTCGCCGGGCCTTCGCAACATGATAGCGTCCCAACGTAGGGGAGCTTTACGCCAGGCCTTCCGCAACATGGTGGCGTCCCAACGTAGGGGGGCTTTACGCCAGGCCTTCCGCAACATGGTGGCTCCCCTCGCCGGGCCTTCCGCAACATGGTGGCTCCCCAACGTAGGAGGATTTTCGCCTGGGCGTCCGCAACAAAGGCCTTCCGCAACATGGTGGCGTCCCAACGTAGGGGGGCTTCCGCCGGGCTTTCCGCAATATGGTGGCTCCCCAACGTAGGGGGGGTTGCTCGCCAGGCCTTCCGCAACATGGTGGCTCCCCAGCGTAGGGGACTGGCCGCTTACGTTGTTCAGGGTTCAGGGTCTTGGTGTCTTGGGGTCTTAGAGTCAAAAGGCGTTGGGGCCTTATGGTCTTCGGGTCTGAGGGTATTGGGGTCCTAGGGTCTTAGGGTTTTAGGGTCTTACGGTCTTAGGGTATTGGGGTCCTGAGGTATTCGGGTCTAAGGGTGTGAGGGTTTTAGGGTCCTAGGGCCTTAGGGCCTTCGGGTCTTACAGTCTCAGGGTATTGGGGCCCTAGGGTCTTATGGTCTTAGGGTCTTAGGGTCTCAGGGAGTTAGTGTCAGTCTCTCAGGGTCTTAGGGTCTTCGGATTTTGCGGTGTTCGGGTCGTAGGGTCTGAGGTCTTAGGGTCTTGAGGCCTCAGGGCCTCGTGGTCTTGGGGCCTCGAGGCCTTCGGGTCTGAGGGTCTTTGGGCCTCGGGGCCTGAAGGCCTGAGGGCCTTAGGGCCTTAGTGCCTTAGGGCCTCAGGGCCTTAGGGCCCTGGGGCCCTAGGGCCTTGGGGCCTTAGGGCCCGAGGTCCTGAGGGACTTAGCGCCTCAGGGCCGTAGGGTCTGCTGTAGGGTCTCAGGGCCGTAGGGCCTCAGGGCCTTAGGGCCTTAGGGCCTTCGGGTCTTCGGGTCTTGGGGTCTTCGGGTCTTAGGTCCTTAGGCTCTTCTGGTCTCAGGGTCTTAGGTCTTAGGGTCTTAGGCTTTAGTCAGGTTCTTATGGCCTTAGGGCCTTTGGGCCTTAGGGCCTTTAGGGCCTTAGGGTCTTAGGGCCTTAGGCTCTTCGGGTCTTAGGGTCTTAGGGTCGTAGGGTCTTAGGGTCTCCGGGTCTTAGGGTCGTAGGATCTTAGGGTCTCTGGGTCTTAGGGCCTGAGGGCCTCGGGGCCTTCGGGTCTGAGCGTCTGAGGGTCAGAGGGTTTGGGGTTTTCGGGTCTTCGGGCCTCCGGACCGTCGGGTCCTCGGGCCTCTGGGGTCTTCGGGCTTATATGGTCTTAGTGGAGTCTCAGGGTCTCAGGGTCTCAGGGTCTTGAGGTCTCAGGGTCTCAGGGTCCTACGGTCTGCGGATCTTAGGGTCTTGCAGTCTTAACGTCCTCGGGCCTCTGGGGTCTTAGGGTTTTAGGGCCTTGGGGTCTTCGGGTCTTAGGGTCTTACGGTCTTAGGGTCTTACGGTCTTGGGGCCTTGGGGCCTTGCGGTCTTCGGGTCTCAGGGTCTTGAGGTCTTAGGGTCGTCGTGTCGTAGGGTCGCAGGGTCGTAGGGTCGTGGGGTCTTAGGGTCTGAAGGCCTTAGGGTCGTAGGGTCGCAGGGTCGTAGGCTCTTAGGGTCTTAAGGTCTTAGGGTCTTAGGGTCTCAGGGTCTCAGGTGTCAGGGTCTCAGGGTCTGAGGGCCTTAGGGTCGTATAGTCTTAGGGTCTTAGGTTCTTTTGGGTTGGGGGTCTTGTCGCCGTAGTGACTCAGGGCCTCAGGGCCTTGAGCCACTAGGGCCTTAGGGCCTTAGGGCCTGGGGGCCTGAGGGCCTGAGGGCCTCAAGGCCTCAGGGCCTTAGGGTCTTCGGGTCTTAGGGTTTCAGGGCCTTCGGGCCCGAAGGTCTTAGGGCCTCAGGGCCTTAAGGCCTTAGGGTCTTAGGGCTTTAGGCTCTTCGGACAGCAAAGGTCCCCCGAGGATGCAACGCAGCTGCCGACCCCGCCAGCGCCGTGCTCGCTGTCCCGGCCGCCGTGCCCCGCGCGCTGCGCCTCGGCCGTGCCTGCGGCGTGGTCGTCGTAGCTCTGCTGCCTCCTCCTCCTCCTCCTCCTCCTCCTCCTCCTCCTCCTCCTCCTCCTCCTCCTCCCTCCTCCTCCTCCTCCTCCTCCTCCTCCTCCTCCTCCTCCTCCTCCTCCTCCTCCTCCTCCTCCTCCTCCCTCCTCCTTCCTCCTCCTCCTCCTCCTCCTCCTCCTCCTCCTCCTCCTCCTCCTCCTCCTCCTCCTCCTCCCTCTTGCCCCAGCTCCGCGTGGAGCCTGGTGGGATTGTGCCTGTACCTGCTGACCCCGCCAGCGCCGCGCTCGCTGTCCTTCTCGTCGTGCTCCTCGCAGTGCGCCTCGGCCGTCTCCGCGGCCTGGCGGTCGAGGCGCGGCTTTGTGATTAGCTGCGCCAGTGAGGCCGTCACGGGTGCACTCCTGCTGCTGAGAATTTCGTGACGGACCCCGCCCTGGTGACAAGGGAGGGGTCCTTGGCGACATAGCTTGCAGGGCTAGGTGGCGTGGCCAGGCCGCCCCTGCCATCTTCCCCCTGGAGGCCTGGGGGAGACGGCTCCGGAGGTGTTCCGCCGCGCTTGGCCTCTGAGGGCCCCCACGGGCCCCGGGATTGCCAGCAGACGATTCGTGACGAACAACTTGTCCCAGGGGGAACTCTGAGATCTGGGCGTCGCATTTTTTCCACAACGGGCGTCTTCGCCTAGTTTCGGGCCCTGGGTCCATCACAGATGGATCCAGCTCGAACGATGATGCAGAAAACATTGGGTCTGGGGCTCCGGCTGCATGTTTTTCGCAACGTCGGAATTCTGGGAACGCCCACGGGCACAGGTCAGAGGCCACGAGGCCATGGACATAACACGTTCCAGGATCTCCAAGGCTTCTAGGATCTCCAGTATGTCTTACTGTTCCCCGCGGGCTGCAAGACACGGGAGCCGCTGGATACTCTGGGAAATTCTGGAATGTATCCTGAGCCAATCTTGCGACACGTCGCCCCGCCGTTTGTTCCGACGCACGGCCTTCGTCTCGGGCGCCGCGGGCACCAGGGCAAACGCCGCCTCGGGCCCTGTGGGCTTGCCGTGGGTTCTGCCGCGGTGCTGGCGTCGTCTACTTGGGCGCGGGGCGCAGGGCTTGCCGTGGGTTTGCCGTGGTGTCGGCGTCGTCCGCCAGGGCGCGTCGGGAACGCACGGGGTGGCGGTACGGTGAGCCACCAGGACACACCCTGCTTGCCTCCAGGGTGTCCTGGGTCTCTTGGGTTTCGATGTTTTTTTGCTGTGGAAGGCGTGATGCTCCCACACCAAGCATCGAACGGGCGTTCTGGGGTCTCAGGGTTGGGCTTCTCGTGGAAGGCCTCTTGTGGTCGGGCCGCCACTGCACACCCTGTCCTCGCCCTGCCAGGTCCCGCTTCCCTCGGGACCCGCCTGCCTCCTGCCCAAGAGGCCGCGCCCGCGGCGGCCGGAGGGCGGCAGGTGCGGGCGGGGCCCTTCACGGCGCCGCTGCCGTGGGCCGCCGCGGCCGCTCTGGAGGAGAGGCACGGCACCCTGCACGAGGCCTGGAGGGCGCTGACGACGCAGGACTGGAACCACGAGGCTCAGCGGAGAAAACGGTATACCCTTGCCGCTGCCCCTGCCTCGTTTTCGCCTTTTCGGGCCTCCTGGGAGGCCCTCGTCGCCACCGCTGGACTCGCCTCGAGATCCTGGTTGGAAGGCACCCCCGGAGAGGCCCAGGGGTTAGAAGTATCGGTGCGCTGTGGTTTCTCCATGACGAGGCGACGTCCAGAGGCCGAGGGGCCCCCGGGGGCGCCTCGCTCAGCCGCCGGGCGTGCTGGTGCGGCCTGCGCGATGCCGGGGTGCTGATGCACGACGCCGCCGAGTTCGAGTGCCTCTGGCGGCTGCTGCTGGGGCCCTCCGGCCGCGCCCGCTGCGGGGCCGCGCCGCAGGAAGAGCAGGTCGACTTCGCGGCCTTCCGCGCGGCCCTCTCCGGGTGCGCCGCCCCGCGGCCCCCCTCGCGGGGAGCCGCCCCGCGGGCCTCGTCGGCCGCCTCCCGGCCTGGCCGGCCCGCGGCGGCCTGCGGGCAGCTGCTGACGCTGCGGGCGGTCCCAGGCCTGCTCCGCTCGTGGGGCGTGGCCTGCATCGACGAGCAGGTTCTGTCGGTGGCAAAGCACGGGGGCCTCGCATCTCCTCGTGATTCCGTCCTCAGTGAACACGCCTAGCGTGCGCCAGCGTCGCGCCGTCGATGAGGAAGCGCCGATCTGGCGCTGATCAGCGTCGATCAGCGTCGGCTTGGCGTCGAGTCGCGTCGATTCGATTCGCAAGAGCCCACACACTGGTATGGGAGGCTCCCATAAGCTGCCCTAGATCGGCGTCACCCCAACCTGTTTATACTATATGTGCGTCGCCCCCACCCCCCAGGGGCGACGCGCGCACCGAGAAATCTTATGGTATATGCGTCGCGGCGAGCGCTTTCGGGCCACACCGCTCGGGAAACGATCTACTGCAAGATGGGTATACCATCTGTTCGGGTCGGACGCGCGCCTCCAAGGAGGACATATAGCACTCGCATGTCACTGTGCGTCCCACTAGAAGGCCCTGGTCCAGTCTTTCATGGACGCGGTGAGGGTGTGCCGCCGGCGGAGCGCCCTCGAGGCGCTCCGGGGCGGCCTGCGCGGCACCGCCGGGGGCGCCGTCGCGCTGTTGTCCCAGCGAGGCCTTCGCGACGCCTCGCGGGCGCTGGCCGAGGCGGAGGCTGCGGCGGAGCCGCCGGGCCCACGGCCCTGGCAGCAGCTCCACGAGAAGCTGCACGCCAGCGCCGCCGCTCTGCGGAAGCTGGACCAGGCGCGCCTGGCAACGGGCACGCCAGCGGGCGCCGTCCCCACGCGGGGGCTTCTGGGCGCGGCGAGGGCCGAGGCGGCTGAGGCCGAGGAGGAGCTGAGGGGCGCGCTGGGCGAGGTAGTCGCGTCCGAGCAGGCTTGGCGCAGGGCGTCGCTGCGGGATGCGGGCGCCGTCCACGGCGGCGACTTCGCGCACGCGGCGGCGCCGCGCTCGGAGGTGCAGCGGCAGCTGCGGCGCGCTGTCGTAGCGGCAATGGCCGCCGAGGGGCGCGACGCGTGGCGGCGTGCGGTGAGCGGGGAGCTGGAGCTCTGCCAGGGGTCCCCTCTCGTCCTCTATGCGGCCAGAGAGCTGCAGGAGGCCTGGAGCCTCGCGTGGGAGGGCGAGGGCTCCGCGGCGCTGTGGCGGGCGGCATTGGGGGCGCACCGGAAGCCCGACCCCGCGCGGGCGGTGTCCCTTCACGACTACTTCGAGGAGTACGGGCGCGTGCCGCCGCCGGCGCTCCCAGCTCGGGTGCTGCAGGGGCGGCCCTGGCCCACGGTGGCCCCAGCTTTCCCGCGGAGGCCCACAGGAGCGACGGAAGAAAACGGCGTCGACTGCGCCAGCATCTGCGCGCAAGCTGCCCGCGTAAGGTCGCGCGTGAGCGCCCTCGTCGCTCGCGAGGCGGGGGCGTAAGGTCGCTAACGTCATCTACGTCATCTTGATCATCACCATCGTCATCTTGATCATCTCCATCGTTTTATTAACGTTCAGGATCATCTTGATCATCACCGTCGTCATCCTCTCCATCATTGTGCCGAGACCTCCGGGAAAACGTTTAGTATCCCGCCCGGACCCCGACCTTTACCATCCCCAGGGGGCTATCATTTGGAGCTGGCGGTCGTGTCTCATCTCGCGTACTACCCGTCTCTTCTCGTCGCTCGGATGGCCTCCGGAGCACCCGCCGCGATGGCCTGCAGAGCACCCGCCCCAGGGTCTCCGGGGCACCCGTCAAAGGGCGCGAGGCCCCGGGGGGCTTCCGGAACAGCACGCGGACTCGGCTTGAGGTCCGACGCTGCGGCAAGAGTGGCAGCATCGCGAGCAATCTCGACCAGAGCCCCAAACTTCGAGAGCCCTTGATTTGCCAGGGATTGGTTCCCCCCAAAGCGACAGTAAGCCTTCTGAAGCCCTCCCACGACCCTCCGAGAAGCCTCAAGGGACCCTCCAGGGAGGGTTTTCGGTGGGTGTCGGGAAGGCTTCGGTCGTTTTGGGGGGAAACCAGTCCCTAGCGAACCCTGGACTTTCTAACCCCAGACCCCATCTTTCTGCGCCATTTTTTCGAGCCGGATCGATCTGTGATGGCCCCAGGGCCCGAAGCCGAAGCCTGGCGAACACACCCGCTGTGAAAAGCTGCAGCTCCGGGATCCGAGGGCAGCTGTGGGGACGCCATGGGCTGTGTGGTTCTTCATGGGAGCTTCAGAGGATCCCCAAATTCCTTGCGGTTGCGGGCATTTCGCCAGAATATCGTCAGATGTGGTCGACATTTGGACAACATCTGGACAGCATCTGGACGAACGGGTGAAGGGGCGCGGTTGACATCTGGACGAACTCCGGTCGAAATCACGTTTACGACAAGGGCGCGGAGGTAGAGGCTCCCATGAAGGCTCACCCAGCATTGCCCAGAGTCACCCTTGGTTGTGGGCCAAAAACATGTCCGTATCCGCGGCCTCGTGGGCCAGGCCCCTGGGCCGCGCTCCCGCGGATACGGGGTTGTTTTTCTCGCGGATGCCCCGCGCGAGACGTATTTGTGCGACCGCGCATTCGCGGGATTGCGCCCCGGAATCCAGACCGCGAGGGCGCGGGTACGGACATGTTCGCCGCTCGTGACTTGGCAGCCCCCGACCAGCAGCCGCGTGGGCGCGCCTGGTGCGGGTCCTGCTGGGCGCGGCCAGCTCCCCCGAGGCGGAGCTGCTGCTGCGCCGGCGGCTCTGAAAGGGATGCCTGCCACCGCGAAGCCGCACATTGCGGGCGAGTGCCGCGCACGCGCCGCGCTCCTGCTCCTGCTCCTGCTCCTGCACGAGGAGGGGGAGGAGGAGGAGGAGGAGGAGGAGGAGGAGGAGGAGGAGGAGGAGGGGGAGGAGGAGGGGGAGGAGGAGGAGGAGGAGGAGGAGGAGGAGGAGGACCAGTGTAAACCCAAGAGTCATCAACGATGTTGGAATACACCCTCCCTCCCAGATCCCTCTTCACAGGCCCCTACAACGGTTCATTTCCATTGGGGAACTGCCTCGTTGGAAGACAACCGTTTGAAGACCCTGAAGCGTGTCAAAACATTGTATTCGGGATTCCAACGCCACGGATCAACCTGACTATTGCGTGTTGACGGTCCTGGATCGTGCCAGAACGCATTTCTGGGACTTCAGCACAGCGATACATGTTGCACCCGCGTAATCCTGAATCTTTTCCAAACACAAGTTCTGATACGTTGATGATGGGAATCCATGGAACTTGTGCAAATGTTTTAAACACATGTTCGCCGCGCTAAGGCGAGAGCCACATTTTGAGAACCACCCGCCCTCAAACCGTGAAGCTCTTGCAATTTTTTACAACGAATGTGCGCCGCGCTAAGGCGAGAGCCACATTTTGAAAACCACCCGCCCTCAATGTGTAAAACTCTTGCGAATTTTTGAAACGAATGCGCGCCGCGCTAAGGCGAGAACCGCATTTTGAAAATCACCCGCCCTCCAACAGTGAAGCTGTTGGCAAGTCTTAAGCTTCAGAGTCATAACTGGAGAGGAAGTCTCAGGCGAAGCGCCTGGCCCGCCCTAAAAACTGGGCTCGGGGTGCGACTGGGAGAAGTTCTTCATAAGGACAAGGAATGGAGGAAGACGAGAAGGAGGAGGAGGAGGAGGAGGAAGAGGAGGAGGAGGGGGAGGATCAGTGTAAACCGAAGGCGCATCAACGATGTCGAATTACGCTACCGAGGAACCCCGCATTCCTACTTCAGGTCCTGCGTGAGTATTTCATATTTCACCATGCTGTGTTCGAGTGCCACGCCTGCCACCTTCACTGTAGTGTGGAGAAAGTGCCACGCCTGCCACGCCCCGCGACCCTGAGGCGGATGGAGGCCGCGATGGGACCACCCTCTGCGCACCTCCTATGGTTCGGAGAGAGTGCCACGCCTGCCACGCCCCGCGACCCTGAGACGGATAGAGACCCCGGCGAGGGACCAACCCCTGCGCACCCTCTTTGGCGTGGAGAAAGTGCCACGCCTGCCATGTCCCGCGAACCTGAAACGGACAGAGACCTCGGTGAGCACACTTTGCGCACCCCCAGTGGTGTGGAGAAAGTGTCCCGCCTGCCAGGCTTTCTGACCCGGGCATTGGGTTTGTTCTCTGGGTCTTTTCGCTATGCTGTCTATAGGGCTGTGTATTTCCAGCCGCCATGGTCTTCAGATTCATATAATGTGCGGATCTGGTCCTGCGGACAAGCTGGAGGGCCAAGCGGCTCGGCAAGTGGCGACGTGCCCGCCTGGAAAACTTGATGCACAAAAGCTGTGTTCCTGTGAAATCGGCCGCAATCGCACGCTACAGCGACGATGGGCTGGCGTCATCCAGCACCTCTGGCGTGCAGTGGCGCGCCTGCGCCCAAACCCTTCCCTGGATCCCGCCGCAATCAACAGGTGACAGCGCTGATTTCGCAGCGCGCGCTTCCGACGCGGCACATCTGGATCAACCGAGGCGCGCGGTCAACGAACGAAAACATTCGACCTACCCGCTATTCGCGCGAATATGTTGGTCGATGCTGGTATTTGTCAGCGACGTCCATTGCGCGGCTCCTTGGGGCCCTCACTCTCCTCCTTTCCTCCTCCTCCTCCTCCTCCGCCTCCTCCTCCTTCTCATTGTGAGTAGGGAGGAGAAGGAGGAGAAACCGGCAACAGCAGCAACAGCAGCAGCAGCAGCAGCAGCAGCATGCGGAGGAGCAGGAGGCGGAGGAATTGCAGCAGCAGGGGGAGGTGCCGCTCGCGAGTTGGGCAACCCGTTTCGCCTGAGACGTCCTCGCAGCTCTAGGTTCTGAGATGCCCTGACCCGAGGTGGTCCAGCCCGTGTTTCGCTTGAGATTTCTTCGCGTCTTTAGGCCCAGATATGCTCTGACCTGAAGTGGTCTGGCCCGTTTCGCCAGAGACATCTTCGCAAGTCTAGGCCCAAAGGTGGCCAGGACCTCCTGGGAGCCTGGGGCCTCCCAGGTGGCCTGGGTTGGGGTGCTCAAGAAAACCGAAACGAGTTAGCAATACATTCGAAGTGTGGACACGGCGCGCGCAGAACATATCTCCCCCCCGTCGATCTGTGGATTCGGCGCCGGTAATACGGATGCCTCACCCCCGATGTGTGGATTCCGCGCGCGTACACCCGACGACCCAAGGACCATCTGCGGACAACATGCGTGTCCGCAGATTGTCCAGTGGGCGCACCCCCCGTCCGCAGATTCCGTGCGCACTGGCCTAGGCAATCTGTTTGCCCTTGACAGTACAATTTGCGGACGGCCTCCAAACCATGAGCCTGGCGAAGCACCCAACCATGTGAAGTTGTGGATACCGTCGTTGTATGCACCGCATTCGGAGGAACTCCCTATGGGACCACGAAGCGTGTGAGGTGTGTGTGTGTATGCTAAAACGGGCGCCGTGGGCGCATGCGAGCGCTGGCATATGGGCCTTCGGTGGAGCCCCAACGGCTCAGAAGGCTTCCAAAAAAAAACAAGATCGGCGGCGGGCAAGGGGGGAAATGAGAAGGAGAAGGCCCTCTCAGAAGGCGGCGGGGCTCCTCAGAAACCCTCGCGCCTTCTGAGAAGTGTTTTGCGTCGTCTTCGGGGAAGGCGCGGAAACCTTCTCAGAAGGCCGGGGGGCTTCTTGGGGCGGAGAGCTCGAAATGATCGTTTGGATTCCTTTTGTAAAGCCCCTCCTGGAGCTCTCTTGGGGCCCTCTAGGGCCGTCTCTGGTGCTTCCTGGGCCGTCTTGGGGCCCTCTTGTGCCGCCTTGGGGCTCTCTTGTAGGCCTTGTGTGCCATCTTTGGGCGATGTTTGGGCCTCTACGGTCGTCTTGGCTGGCACTCAGGCTTAACGAGAGATTCTGCCACAACTATACGTCTTTCTACGTGGATGGAGCGACTGTTGCCTCTCGGGGCCGTCTTGGAGCGCTCTTTTCGGCGGCGAGCGCGAGAGGGGGAAGTGAGAAGGGGCGGGCCTTCTCAGAAGACTACCCAGAGGCCGCCAACAGGCCTCCAAGATGCTTCCAGAACGGCCCCAAGCTGCGCCAAGAGGCCCACAGGATGCCTCATTAGAGGGCCCAAATAAGCCCCCGGGAGGCCCAAGAGGCTCCACACTTGTTCAAAACGTCTCCGAGAAGGCGATCAGGCCCTCCCCCCAAAAAGTTGACTACGATTTCCGACCGTGCCCCCCCAACAGCCGCCAAGAAGCCCCAGGAACCACATGGCCCCCCCAGGAGGCCCCAAGAGATCTCAACACGCCCCAGGAGTCCTGCAAACGAGAGTTTTGGAATACGGCCCCAAGAACCCCAACCTGCGCCCCTAGACGGGCAACGCCACCCCAGGATCGTCCAAGAAACCACGAACTTACTTCCAACTGCAGCCCAATTGGCCTTCCCATCGGCCATGGGTTGGGTTCTGGATAGTCTCTTCGACTCGTGCAGGTTCGTGGGTTCCCGTGTGTGTGTGTGTGCCTGTGCCTGTGCCTGTGTCTGCGTGTGTGTGTGTGTGTGTGTGTGTGTGTGTGTGTGTATGTGCGTGCGTGTGTGCGCGTGCGCGTGCGCGTGCGCGTGTGTGTGCGTGTGCGCGTGCGTGTGTGCGTGCGCGCGCGTGTGTGTGTGTGTGCGCGTGCGCGTGCGCGTGCGCGTGCGCGCGCGCGTGTGTGTGCGTGTGCGCGTGCGTGTGTGTGTATACCCGTGCGCAGGAGGACGCACCCTGCCGTCGCACGCTGCAGACAACGCCGAGATGCGGCGACCGCCTCGGCCTCGGGGCGGGGCTCTGGCTTTCGGGCCGCTCCCCCCGGGCCAGGTCGGGGAGACCGCCCGTGGCCGAGGCCCGCCGTGGCCCGAGCAGCCCCCTCCGTCCCTGCCTCGGCGCTCCCTGTGGCAGCAGGCGGACCGCGCAGGGCGGAGGCGCCGCCAGGGGGGAGGAGAAGCAAAGGAGGGAGGACGATGGGGGGCAGGACAGGGGAAGCAGGAGGAAGGATCGGGAGGAAGAGCAGCAGGGGGAGCAAGGAAGGAGGAGGACGACGAGGAGAAGAACAGGGACGGAGGAGGAAGAGGACAGGGGGAGGGCGATACGGCAACAAAACTGACAGCGGTACATGTTGACGGGCTGTGGCCTCTCTAGGGGCTTGTCTGAGCGCTTTTCAAAGGTCTGCGGGGACATCTTCGGCCATTTTGGAGCCCGTCAGGGACTTTCCTCGAGCGCTGTTGGGATCAATTTGGGCGCTCTAGGTGTGTTGTCTTGGGCGAGCTTGAAGCCATCTTCAGGCATCAGACAGCCCAGGAAGTGAGAATGCGCGACAGCCAACATGAACGAAGCACACGTTTGACAGATGGTTGCCTCCCTGCAAGGCCTTTGGGGGCCGCTGAGGGGCTTCTAGGACCTTTTTTCGGCCCCCTTGGGCTGTGTTGGGCACCTTCTGGGGCGATCTTCGGGACCTTCGGAGCTCATGTAGAGCCTTTCTGTGCCCCACTTGGGGTCATACATTGAGAGAACACATACGTACTGAGGCGATCTAGACGCCATCTTGCGGCCTCGGACGCCCATAGGAAGCGAACGTATGATACTGTCCCAATCATATGAATAAGGTTCACGCGTGTGCTAGATGTTCGCATCATGGGCCCCGTTGGGGGCTGTATTGGACCAGATTGACCTCCTCGGGGCTCATATGGTTTCACTGCTGTCAGTTGGCTATGCTTAGAACGTGCCATGGGTGAGGGGGGGAGGCCAAGAGGGGTCACAGAAGTGCATGCGGAACCACGAGCTTGCAGGGGTGCATCAGTACACCATGCGTCGGTGATGATTGCTTGCAAGGTCTAGTCGAGAAGACGCGGTCTGAGGAAGTAGTCAGAATTCGCAGCTGGATGCCCATGCAAACGTGGCTTGCGGATCAATTTCCTAAGACTGAGATCCTGGTTTCAGTTCTGTGGTGGCCTCACGCGCAAGCTGGGCCACCTCGACAATATTGGCCACGGGCTTCGGTGATCTCACGCCTTCGAGGTCAACATCAGGGGCGCGTGGGAAGTCGCTGGGTGGCAGTAGCGTTCCTTCTTGGAGCCCCCTTGGGACCATCTCGGGGAACTGTGCCGTGAAAATGCGAGAATGGCAGAACCACTGGAATACACTGGGTTCTTGACAGGTGTCTGTCTGCTGGAGACGTCTTGGGCTGTCTTGGACCACCTTGGTCAGGCTCGGGGCTAGGTCGGGGCCTCTTGGGGCGCCCTTGGAGGCATACTGGAGTCGTTTGGAGGTCACACTGGGGCGTGCTGCCGCATGGTGTCCGATCTTGAGCCGCCCCCAGAACCTTTTCAAGCTTCTTTGGGCATGCGCGAGGGCGTTGTTGGGGGCATTCGGAGCCTGCATGGGGCCCTTGTAGGTCCCACGTGGAGCCATCCTGGGCGAGGTTGAAGCCACATCGAAGCCTTAGATATCCAGAGTGAGCGACACCTGCAGCTAAACAAGCTATCAAGTGCACTCTCTACTTTTGTTATCTTCATAGCCCAACCGTGCCCTTGTATTCATACTGCCACCTTCAACATGGGATGCCATTGCTACGTCCAGATATTTGCGCTCGTGATGGCAATTTCCAATTTGATCCACGGAGGGGACGCACTTTCCCATCCTTTTCCAAGCCGCCACCTCTATGCAGATGATTTTGCGCAGGGTACAGTTCGGATCCGGTCGCCTGGCACATATCACATAAAGGAGAACATTGCGTTCAACCCTACTGGGGCCCATCTGAGCTGGAGTGGGATTCCAGAGGACTCGATCACCTATCCGCAATGTGGCGGATACATACTTGTGTTTTTTCGCAGCGTTGACGGTGGAGGCAGACAACGTGGAGATCGATTGTGGGGGGAACAGCATTGCTATGTCGCAGGATTTCCACAAAAAGCAACGCTTCTTCAGTATTATCGAACTTGGCTCGGCACCGTTCATTGCTGGCCAGGGCCCGCCACAGTTCGCAAACGGTATGGTAACCAGCGCGCCTTTGGTGAGCGCGCGTAACGTGAGTATTCGTAACTGCGTGCTTGGCCTTTCCTCGCACCATGGCATACACGGAAACGATATTGATGGCGTTACCATTGAGAACTTGATTATAAAGGAGTTTGAAGCGGGTGGTGTAGCACTCAACGGCGCTTCGAATGTTCTCTTGCAAAATTTGGACATAGGGCCATCGCTGATTCAGACATTTGGTGCCAAGCTGAGCCACGCCATTTTCATGGACCATATCGTGAACACGCTAATGCCGAATGCTGTTCCCAGCATAGCGTCGCTCATGGCATGCACAAATGTCGAAATCAGGGGCTCCAACTGGACCGTCGAAAAGCGCTTCGCGCAGCTGCGCGCCGATCTTCAGGATTTTATGGTAGGTTCCGGAGGGCCATTGCTATCAGTCATGGGTAGCGGCAGCGCGTTGCCAGACGGTTGAGCAATTTATGGCGCTCTGCTTCGCCGGAGCGGAGTGGCAATCAATGGATTCGGCTTTTGTCCAGACACATCCACTGACCCTCTAGAGGTGGTGGAGAACATCACTTTGAGGCATGTCCACATTCATGAATTAAAACTTAAGGTCGACCAGGTAATGACGGCATGGGTCAACGGTAAAAAGGCTGTTGGCGCGGACGGGGGTGTCTTCCGCATCGACCAGGCATGGGATAGCAGCAGTTGCTTCGCGTACGTCGGAACATCGTTCACGGACGCGCAGATCACCTAGGGTGTTTTTAGGGACGCTTTGCAAAATACGGGCATCTCGAAGGACGTCCTTTCTTTCTATTTTGGGGGCTCTCACATCCCGCTTAGCATTCAGCGGTGGGCCGGAGGTGGACTGACCTGCGTCGAAACGGGGAACTTCATCAGGTCTCTTTTGACAGGGGGCACCGAGGGGAAGACCAACTTCGAGTGTCACGGGGACGCAATGAGCCATCATAACAAGGGGGCCGTCGCTTTGAGGTTGGGCTTCCAGAAAGACATCGCGGTCGAGAACGTCACGATTTCGAGTCTCATGAATGAGGGGGTCGCGGATGCGGCTCCCTATTGTTCACCGGAAGATTACCAAGGCCTGGACGTGCGTGCAGTCACGACTTTTCATTCTGCGGCGTGGAGCGGACTGGACATCAGGTTCAGCGGTAATTTCACGTCCACCGACGAGAACAGGGTCGTCCCATTATCTGGGATGTGGATGCGGGGTGATGATCTGACAATCTCGGCGCCACCTCCAAGTCCGACGCCCATTCGGGCACCAGCCCGCGCGTAGCTTCGGCTGCGCTCGAGCAATCAAGATGATAAGTTTTTGTTTATGGAGTCGTGGAGTGCACCATGAACAATAAAGGTAGGGGGAGGTGGAAGGGTTGACAGGCCAGTTCCCGCTTCTCTTGGGACCGTGGCCTGGGCTGGCGACTTTGGACTTTGGGGACTCCGAGAGCCGGGCGCCGATGACCACCCTTCTCAGGCGGTCTGCTGTGTGGGTCCACACTTCAAGCCACCGCTGTGTGGCCACCGCTCCGCCCTGATCCTGCGAGGCTGATGCGCAAACTTGTAAGGCGAATATGCGCGGCGCGAAGGCGAGAACCTCATGTTGAAAACCACCCGCCCTCCATCCGTGAACACGTCGCAAACATTTACGGTGAATGTGCGTGGCGCCAATGCGAGAGCTTCATGTTGAAAACCAGCCACCCTCCACCCGTGAAGCAATTGCAAAATTTCGAGACGAATGTGCGGTGCGCTAAGGCGCGAGTTACATTTTTAACCACCCCCCTTTATCCGTGGAGCAGTTGCATTTTTGCAGACGAGTCTGCGCGGCGCTCAGGCGAAAGCCTCACTTCGACAAAAACAATTCGCCCTCCATCCGCGAAGCTGCTGCATATTACAAGTTTCAGGATCATCGGTGGCGAGAGTACCAAGCGAAACGCCCGGTCGGCCCTACCGCGATGTCTGGGGTGCGACAGGGAGGAGATATTCATCAAGAGAACAGGCGGAGGAGGAGGAGGAGGAGGAGGAGGAGGAGGAGGAGGAAGAGGACGAGGTGTAAGAGGAACCGGAGTCGGAGGCGGAGGAGGAGGAGGAGGAGGAGCGAGGAAGGGAGAGATGGAGGGAGGGAGTGTAAACCTAAGACGAATCAGCGATGCTGCATCCAACATTCCTTCGTGGGTCCCTACAAGACTTGGTTCAAGTGGCTTGCGCCATTCCGCCGACCTCCCAGAGGGAACGAGTGCTTGCGACGATCTTGGAAGTTATCTCGTGGGTCAGGAGCTTCTTGAATGCATGGGAGGGGCTCGTGGGGTGCCTCTCAGGGGCCTCTTGGAGGGCTCTTGGGGGCATTGGGGGGCCTTTTGGGCCTTCTTGGGGGCCTCTTGGGGGCTCCTTGGGCGCGAGCTGTGTGGCAAACGGCACAAGCGCAGGAGGATGCAGGCGACGACGGGGATAGCATTGCGTACATGTTGCAGCAGGCGTGGCGGCGGCAGCAACAGGAGGTCGGTATGAAGCCGGCTGGGGCGGGAGTATGAGGACCAGCAGGAGCGGTCATCATGTCCATGAGGAGGGCGAGTTGGACCTGGCCAGCACGGCACACGTTCGTCACCAAGGAGGGCTACGAGCTGAACATGACGGAGGCTTGCCCCATGGATGTAGCAGCAATGTTGCGCAAGGACGTGCAGAGTAAATTGTGGGAGGATTGGACCAAGGCCGAGGAATACCAGAGCTTGAGCCCAGCGCCTTTGTTGCGGTTGCAGGCGCAGGCGGACTGGCAGACCGTTGCGGAGCAGCAGGACACGAACATGTTGTGGACGCGGGGGCGGGTCCGCACGCCAGAAGCGGACTGGACCTTCGTGGGCATCGGAGAGGACCAGTACTACGGCCAGGTGGTACAGGGCGATGAGGACTACTTCGCGGGCGACATCGTGTGCGACGGATCGAAGTTGGGCTACAGCGATTGGGCTCAAACTGGATGGGCAGCTATGTCACTCACGGACGAGGGCAGCGCGAAAATGCAGTTGTGGGGACCGCTGCCGTGTCCGCTGCCAATCCATAGGAGGGTCAAGCGAGCGGAGATGTGGGCCTCCCTAAAGGTGCTGGAGCGGATGATGCCGCCAGGTCGCATCTACACGGGCCATAAGGCCATAAAGGGTATCCTTGGGGGATCGCAGAAGGGCGAGTGGTGGTATACGAGCTGGAAGAGGCCGCATGCCGACATCTGGAAGCGGATTTGGCACAAGGTAAAGGACCTGGACTTAGACGTCGGGTGCGTGTCCCCGAGGGAATGGGACAACGTTTGACTCTTGGGGTCCTCTCGGCGGGGAATAAGACCGATTACAACCACTTCGGATTGTTCAGGAACTACTTCGGTCGCATTGCAACCGCTGGAAACTGACTGATCGCAACCTAACGGATTCCTATGCAAACCTTTCTGAAGAACACCGGGTTGCAACCGATCCAAGAGCTTCTTCTGAGCTTCTGCAGAGCTTTTTGAGAGGCCTCTGAGAAGCCTTTGTGAGGCCTCCAGAAGCCTCAACGAGGCCTTTTCAGAGGCTTCTCTTAAGCCTTTTCCAGAGGCTTCTCTGAGGCCTCTGAACTGTTAATGGTCAAACTGTTGATGGTGAGGAGGAGAGGGGAGGGGGGAGGGAGAAGGAGGAGAGGGGAGGGAGAAGGGAGGAGGGAGAGTGGCGGGGGAGCAAGGAGGAGGGAGGACGACAAGGAGGGCGGAGGAAGGAGGAAGGATGGCGAGGAGGAGGAGGATGAGGAGGAGGGCGAGGCAGAGGAGCAGGGAGTAAGGAGGAGGATGAGGATGATGATGATGATGATGATGAGGAAGGGGCCGTGATGACGAGTTCCGAGGGCCTCCCAATCGACGGAGAGCCCCGCGAAGAGGCTCCGCATGTGCTCTTATCATTCGTCCAATGGCTCCTCGTCCACGCCTCCCTCCGAGAAGTTTTTTCATCCTGAGATGGTTTTGTTCCTGGTTGCGTTGCGCTAGAGGGTTCTAGTCGTGGTAACGAAGGACCCCAATGCTTTCAAAGGCCCCGCACGTCCCACAGGTCGCACAAGTCCACAGTTCCCACAGGTCGCACAAGTCCCAAAGATCCCGCCGTTCCTGCCTGCCCCGCAGGCCCCGCAGGTCCCACAGGTCCTGCGTGTCGCACGGGCGCCAAAGGTCTCGCAGGCCGCGCAGGGCGCACACGTCCCCCAGCCATCGTTCCCACAACCACCACAGGCCCAGACCGCGTGGCGTCGTGACAGCATCTGTTGTTGTTTCGGTCTCCAGGGGCCATCGCCGGGCCGTCCAAAAGTGACTCAGTATGCAATGCTGGCCTTCTGTAGGCTCATGCGGCGTTGGCGCGCCGGTGATGTTGGCGAGGGCGTTCAAGGTTGCATTCTGCGACGCGGAAGCGCCGAGTGACACGGTGGGGCCACTGTACCCGACGAATTCAACCTTGAACGATCGGGGCCACGATCGATTCAAGGTTGAGCGATCGACGCGGTGCCAATAACTTTGCGAGTGCCGACGCCGCACGAACCTACCGTAGGGGAATTCGTCCAGACCTCTGGGGGTCCACGTTCTGGAAAAATCATGACGTTGGGGGTCTGGGCCGCTGCGTCTACCCGCTTTGCCATCCTGTCCTCTTCCTTGTCCTCTCCCTCCTCCTCTTCCTGCTTCTCTGGTCCTCCTGCTGCCCCTCCCCTCCCCCTCCTCCTCCTTCACCTTCCTCCTCCTACCTCTCCTCCCTCCTCCTCCTCCTTCCCTCCTCCTCCTCCTCTCACCTCCTCCTCCTCCTCCACCTCCTCCTCCTCCTCCTCCCCTCCTCCCCTCCTCCTCACCCCCTCCTGAAATGCAATTTGTTTCACGCCGGGCGTTTTCGCTCAGTTTCGGTTTCAATCGTATACGAATCACATAGAAATCGTATACGGATCATGGCCATGTTCGAGCTCAAATACATGTGCTTAGCTGGGGCCATGATCGGCCGTCTGTGATCAGACCGATCGCAACCGCTTTCTCAGATTCCCATTGGGCGACTTAAGGGAGCTCATTGCACCCAGAAGCGCTCTTATGATTTCCGCCTGAATCAAAACCTTTTTGAAACGACCCAAAAAACATCGCAACCACTTCGGACCGATCGCAACTGGTTGCGATCGGTCCTGAGTGGTTGACGATCGCTCCGAAGTGGTTGCGATCGGTCGTGCTCCCCCTCTCGGCGGCCCTCTAGGAGCATTCTTGGGCGGAGGAGGAGGAGGAGGCGGAGGAGGAGGCGGAGGAGGAGGCGAAGGAGGCGGATGAGGCGGAGGCGGAGGAAGAGGAGGGGGAGGAGGAGGAGGAGGAGGAGGAGGAGGAGGAGGAGGAGGAGGAGGAGGAGGAGGAGGAGTGGAGGAGGAGGCGGAGGAGGAGGAGGAGGAGGAGGAGGAGGAGGAGGAGGAGGAGGAGGAGCTGGAGGAGGACGAGGAGGAGGAGGAGGAGGAGAGGAGGAGGAGGAGGAGGAGGAGGAGGAGGAGGAGGAGGAGGAGGAGGAGGAGGAGGAGGAGGAGGAGGAGGAGGAGGGAGGAGGAGGAGGAGGAGGAGGCGGAGGCGGAGGAGGCGGAGAGGGAGGAGGAGGCGGAGGAGGCGGAGAGAGGCGGAGGAGGCGGAGGAGGCGGAGGAGGAGGAGGAGGAGGAGGAGGAGGAGGAGGAGGAGGAGGAGGAGGAGGAGGAGGAGGGAGGAGGAGGAGGAGGGAGGAGGAGGAGGAGGAGGAAGAGGAGGAGGAGGAGGAGGAGGAGGAGGAGGAAGAGGAGGAGGAGGACAGGGGGACAGCCAAATGTCTCACACGCACTTTCACCACGGGCAAGCGGGGGTCGGCGGATTCTCTTGGTGGGGAGTGGCCCACGAAAAGACAACCGCTTGAGTATCCTGAGTCGTGCCGGAACATGATTCCTCGGACTTCAGCTTTGTGGATTGACGTGACCGCTGGGTCTGGACAGTCCTGAATCCTGCTGGCGCACCGTTCCTGGGACTTCAACACTGCGAAACCTATCACTTGTTCCAGGGGTCCATAATCTCACGTATAGGTTTAGCTTTTGGTGTTTCACTCTGGGGACCGATGGACAGAGATCCATCTTGTACGTGTCCGTGCCACATTTGGCTCAAGGGAAAACATTCTGTCCCCTCTCCTGCTGCCACAGTTGGTAGCGGAGCGGGGTCCGGCCCGGAGGCCATGGGCGCGAGAGGCTGGCTGTGACGGCCAGGCCGCTCTGCGCTTGCGCGCCCCGGAGCCAGGCTTCGCTCTGACCACTGAGCAGCGTGGGATCCACGGCAGAGAGATGCCCGCAGATGGTGAGCGGCAGCCGCCGCCAATCGCCCCAGGAGGCGATGGACGAGAGGAGACCTTCGCCGTCCTGGCAGCCCGAGGAGCTGAGGGGTCGACGGCGGGAGCAGCAGCATCAGGCTCTACGGTCGTGGCGGCGACGACGATCGATCAGGAGACGCTCACTCGGGCAATGCAGTCCGCGGTCCAGGAGACCGTGCGGGCGCTCGGCCATTTTGGCCAACAGCAGCAGCGGCCACCGCCAGAGACAGCACCGACGGTGGCCGACCCATGGGACGGCACGGGGGCCGACCCGTGGAGCAGCAGCAGAACCAGACAAGCCGCCGAGGTGGGCAGCGGAGAAGCAGCAGGAGATTCAGGACAGCGGCGCCCACCCGGCGACAAGGACGACGTGAAGGAGGACCAGAAGTGGGACGAGCACCAGGACTGGAGCTCGAGCTGGAACAGCAACTGGTGGCCAGGCCAATGGACTGGGGGCCGAGGTGATTTTTCGGACCCTCCAGCGTGGCCCGGCTGGGCCCACTACAGACAATGGCGCCGAGCCGTTCGGCGCTGGAACGACAACACCGACGTAGCGGTCTGGAGGAGGTCGGAGAAGTTCATGCGGCTCTTCGACTGGACGATGCAGGCCAAGTTCGAGGACATACCGGACAAGGAGCTCACCGCATCGTCATGGTTGCAGACGCTCCTCAGTCGCATGGACTCGATGATCGGGGAGCGCGAAGGAGACGAGCTACGACGGGCAGGACGAAAAGCATTATACGAGGCCGTCCGCGACTCCAAGGAGACGCTCACCCAGTACGTGAGTCGTCGTGAAGCAGAGTTCATCGACGCGGAGGGCCATGACTTGTGGATGTCCGACAAGCTCAAGGGTCTCTTCCTAGAGGAAGGGGCCAATCTCACTCAGCAGGGCGTGCAGAACTTGCGCACGCTCACTCGCGGGGACCTGGCCTACAGCAGCGTGAAGTGGGCACTGCGCCAGCTTGATTCATCAGCCGGCACTGAGCGCCTGCTTCCCGGCAAAGCCGGGACAGGCAGCATGCTAGCGGCAGCGTCTGAAGACCTAGGGCCGAGCGCTCGCTCGGACGCTGGTGCTTTTCAGTCTTCCTCCTCCCCTCCTAACCTCGGTCGGTGTGAAGGTAGGTCGGAGGATGCCAACTACCAGGTGGTCGAGGACGAAGAGGATGACTACGACGAGGGAGCCGACGAGTCGGACGAGTTCGAGGAAGAGGACGTGGCGGCCCTCCTCGCGGAGATCGATGACATGGACATCGAGGAGGACGACGCCGAGCTGGTGCTGGCCGAGCTGACGAACAACAGGTCCTGGAAGCAGAACAAGGACCTCAAGCGCGCAGCTCGGCGCGATCGAGAATATTTTGGCTCCCGAGGTCGAGGCAGTGGCAGGACCTCTCATCCTTCTCGGTCAGCCGGGCGAGGAGGAGGTCGCCAGCGACGAGAACGTGACGAGCGTGGAGGCGGTGCTGGAGGAGCAGGACACCGGCCTCCTCAGGGCAGGCGACGCTTCCTCACTCAGGAGCAGCTGATGAAGGTCACCAAGTGCAAGCTGTGCCACGAGAAGGGCCATTGGGGGCGTGAGTGTCCCAACGTCAGCAGCGCCAAGAAGGGCGCTGTCAAGCGGGAGGTCTCCGTCAAGAAGACTCCCATCAGGAAGGCCTCGTCCTACATGTTCGACGGGGTGGCGTTTGGCAGTAACGACATGTGGGCAGCGCCGGCGTGGCGCGGGGTCGAGGAGGAGATCGCGTCAGGGTCGATCTTCCTGGCTGCCTCGTCGACCCAGGGCCTGGTCGACCCCGGGGCGGGGGCCGATCTGGTAGGCGTGGAGGCTCTCAACAGGGAGTCCGAGGCGCTCGCGACCCACGGCCTCGAGGAACAGGCTTCGCTCCGGCACCCTGCGCACGACCGTGGCCATGACGCGCCTGGGTTCCGGGCACAGGATGGTAGAGATCGTGCGTTCCCTGGAGGAGCCGCCGACAGTCCCAGCGTCGGCCCTCCAGCGCTATCCTTTTCTGACGGAGGGGTCATTCACCCTTGGCAATGAGAAGCCTCCGAAGATGCTGGCAGACGGAACTGTGACGCAGTACATCCCTCACCTCATCATCTCCATCCT